CAGAGCCTGGCTGCCCTGAATGCGCCAACATGCAGTGTGGGTGGGGGGAGGCTCTGCTTCTGGTCTTCGTGTGCCCATGTATGTGCACGGGGGTGGCACTGCCTGAGACAGCAAGCTCACTAGGAGGCCCTGGGACTCTGGGAGGACATGCTCCAGTGGCTCCTCGGTCCCTCCATAGAGAATCCTGGCCACTCACAGAGATGGTGGCGGGATGTCACCACGAAGCTTGGACAGGGAGGGGCGGTGAGGCGCCGGGAGGGCAGCCAGGGTGCTCCTGCCAAGTAGCAGGGAAGAGGAGGAGGAGGAGGAGGAGGGGTCAGGGCTGAGTACGCATGTGGGCAGGCAAGACCTCTCTCGTCTCCGAGGAGACAGTGGGCACTGACCAGGTCCAGCTGGCCAGCCCTGGGTCTGGCCCCTGGATGTGGCTGAGACTGGGCCAAAGGTGAAGGCTTCAGCGCCGTGCGTGTGAAATGGAAGCACAACAGCGATTCACAACACAAACAACGTTTTGCTGAATTTTGGATCTGGCAAAAAATGTTCGGAGTTCAGAGTATAGCAAAGAAAAAAATCTTGGAAATAACGTGTACGAAATAAAGAATGACCTCAAGGTAAGATCCGGCATGCCGAGCAAACTCGGTCTTTTGCAAAGCTCTCTCAGTCTCAAACTCAGGGTCAGGCCGCACTTCCGAACCCCACCAAGGTTTCTCCTCCAAGGCGAACTTCATCTACTGATAACTTAATCTATCAATAGCATTGTCTTTTATAAGCCAGTTGACTTAGTTGAGTAACACAAACTATGATTCCAGTCACTACTGAGAATTAAACCGTGAATTCAACAAACGATGCCACAGTGGTTGCCACTCCCGCGAGTGTAACACAGCCCCCAGCCCTGCTGCACCAGGTAGCAGAGACTAGAGCAGATGCAGTACCTCTCGTCCAAGGTAGGAGCTGTTGCTTTCAAATAAAATAGCCACATAACGGCCACCACGGTTGTCAATGAGAGAAAGAATGTCACTGGGCCTTTTAAGAGAAAAAAAGAGGCTTTTAGTGCTTTCGGCAGCAGCGCGCTGGCCACCGCATGCCAGTGGCCGTATCACTAAGTGCAAACCTGTATTTCACAACACTGAATTCGAGTCATAACACGCCACCTTCCTCACGGAGCTACTCACGGAACTGGGTCCAGAGGCGGGCATGCCGGAGGCCGGCTCCCCTCCGTGTGGTTCTGCAGGAAGTCAATCATCGTGTGTCTGACCGTCTGCAGCTCTCTGTTGGGTCCTGGGGAAACACGCCACTGTCACAGTTGCGTCTGCCTGTGTCTGCCCTCACGAGCAGATGCCAACGCGGGGACTGGCAGCCCCGCCCTACCCAGGGCCCAAAGACCACAGGGGCAGTGGCAGCACCGTCCTCAGTAATCCCGGCTGGGTGCGACGAGGCCCTTGGCAGGCGTGGGGCAGACAGCGGTGGATTCGCAGAGTGGGGACCAGGGGGACTGCACAGCGGTGAGTGAGGGCGAGCAGGCTGCGGACACAGGGACAGGAGGCCTCACACACGCACGGAGGGGCCGGGCTCTGGGATCCGCCCACACCAGCAAGCACTGGCAAAACCGCCTCTGCGGGGCTGCCCTGCGGGGTCTGCTCGCCTAGGTGGGCTCGTTTGTAAAAATGCATCGGCCACCCGTGTATGATGCATGCGCTTCTCCAAATGCTTTTTCAATTAAAAAATTCACTTGAAAAAAACTTCACTACCACATTTGCCAAGCAAGGTAAAACACAAAATAAAAAATTGTCATTGAATTACTGTTTGAACTCTTAAAGGACAGACAGGCGGGAAGGGCGGCACTGACGCACAAGTGCCGGCATCGGCCCCGGAGACCTGGCCAGTGTGCTTTCTGGTCTGCTGAGATCATTTTTATTTTAATAGGTTTATGAGGTGAATCTAAGAGATTGAAATATAATGCTGTGTCCTTACCTTTAAAATTTTCTCCAGTTGTAAACTCCTTTGTAAATGCTTTAAAATACTAAGAGGAAAAACACAAAACAAATAAGAAATAGCCTTGCGTGGGTGTCTGTGTATATGTTTAATATTTACGCAACAAAATGACCATCATCTTAGAGAGAGCGCTTTAGTCGACTTCCTCCAGAGAGTTTCCACGAATTGCTGACAAACACACGTTTCTAGCGTCTGTGTGGACACAGGTGCTTCCTGGCGATGCACGAGTGGGCCGAGGGCAGTGCCAGGCAGTGTTCCACCATCCACATTTCTGACCCAGCAGGGCCAGCAGCGAGAACCCGCAAGGGGCTGGGGTCATAAAAGATGACACTTTCCTGACTCCCGGTATCACTCGAGTGTTCTAATGGTCAGCTGTGGCAACACAAAGACTTGGAGAGGATGAGAGACAGCGGAGTATCTGCGCAGACGAAAAGGCGCGCGTTGCGGACAGTGGAAAGACATCGTGACCGGGTGCAGACATGCCCGACACCCACAGCTGAAGGAGAGCCCAGTACTGAGAACACGCAAAGGGCATCTGTAAATCAGGGAGAAAGCGCAAAAGACCCCCGTGGAGACGGCAACGGCAGGCACAGACAGTTCACAGACAGTGACGCCCGTGGCCCACACACACAGGCGCACTGGCCGCCGCAGGTCACCAGGGAATGCAAGTGAAACCACCGTGTGCCTCATGCTGTGCCCACTCTGTGGCGAACACGAAGCCACCTGACACCACCCGCGCTGCAGGTCTGTCGTGCCCAGACCCGGTTCTCCAGCCCTGCGGCTTCCCCCCCAGGCCGACCCAGAGGGCTCCTCCGTGCCTGGAAGTGTCCGCAGTGGCGCTGTTCAAAGCAGCCCCAGCCTGGCAGAGTCCGCGCCTGGCAGTGATACGGGCATCGCTCCCCACAGTGACACAGGACACAGGTCCAATGAACCTCGCAACACTCAACATCACGGTGAACCTGGGCGACGTCACGTGAAGCACAAGAAAGAGGACCCCAAAGCTTACAGATGACCCGCACATGACACCGAAGCAAAGACAGGACTGGGTCCCGACACGCTCACGCACCAGCACAAGCAAGAGAACCTGAGACACGAGACAAGCACAGGCTCTCGGGGGGCTGGGCACAGGCCACCCAGCCTGGTGCCAGACGGCAGGGCCACAGGTGCCGTCACCTGGCAACACAACAACCCAACCAGAGGGGAAGAAGCCGCCTTGTCAGGAAACTGCACAAAGCACAGACATCAGGGCTGGAAAAGTTTAGGGATCATGAAGCTTCCTTAGAAACGACCTCCAAAGGCGCCACATGTGCCTGGAGAGGTCAATGTCATTGTGATGTGCTCTGTGCAGGCATGCGCCTGTACACACGTGTACACACACATACCATGTACGCGACTTGCAACAGGGTCACGTTTACCTCTGCCCCCTAGTGGGAGAAATGGGTATAGACTTGCCTGCGGGGACAGATGCTGTAGCTGGGGACACTCACGCCGGGCATCTAACGCGCCCTGCTCTACTCTGAGGGACCGTGTGTGTGTGTGTGTGCGTGTGTTCTGAGGAGAGGCCCAGCATTACGAGGGCCACGCTCGATGCCTGCACGCAGGCCTTCGTCACCTCCCCGTGCGTGAGTGAGGGCCACATGCGCGGACGGTCCTGCAGGAGACTTCTACAGCTCAACAGGGTACGACGAAAAGGTGACCCGTGATAGATAAACAAGTTTCACAGCCCAGCAAGAGCTGCTAAAAATCTAGACTACAAATATGGTGAATTTCAACCCGAAAGAAGCCCCCGTGACAAGAGGCAGGGCCAGGTCAGAGACCCCGGCCGGAGACTCACCCTGAAGGTGGGGTAGAAGTGGACGTCGTAGGCGCGGCACACTTCCTGGTTCTTTTCTTCCGCACAGTCCAGAGCAGCCACGCGGATGGCGGTGGCCCAATCTGAAAAGCAAGAGCGTGACTTTCAGCGTGGCGGGCACAGGCCTCCCCGCGGCCCAGACCCGGCGACCCCAGCCCAGACCCCAGGCCACAGTCACGTGAGACATCAGCCCATGTGCCCCCTCTCATGTCACACATTAAGCCTTTTCACGAGACACAGCACGTGTGTGTGGAGCCGGGCAAGAGGAATGAGATTTCAACCAACAGGGCGACGCATCTCCCACCACCGACCTTAACAGCAAACTGTTTTGTGCTGAACTTGCAAATCACTCGGCAGCTTAGGAGGCTTCGGTCTCCTAATTACAGGACACCCTGACAGATGAAAGCGCTGATAACAGAAGCGGCTGTCAGTGGCCCTTTGTCAGAGACGCCCAAGCACTTGCAGATTAATCGGATGTGGTCCAGGCTGTTTAGCTAGAACATTCCCACGTGCTCACTCCAGGAGAGCAGGCCCTGGCAGCTCCGGCCCAGGTCCCCCCAGTCAAAGACACTGTTCTGCACACACATGAGAAGTGGTTTCCGCTACTATCCCAAGACGCCTCCCACAACCCTGGAACATGTGTGCCACTCTCAGGAGATGAAAAGGAACGGTTTCTAAAGTTTTGATTATGTAAAATTTCCAACATATAAATAGAGATAAAAACAGAACAACCCCCCCCATGTCCCTCATCTCAGTGTCAACGATTATCAGCTCATGGCTTGAAATCTCTACCCACTTCCAGAATGATCTGCAAGCAGATCTCAGGTAGCGCTTTTTATTTCCTGATGAAACGGACCCTGTGTCTCTCTAAGAGACGAGGACTCGTTTTCCTGACACCGCTGCGCTGCCATCATCACAGCCAACCCCACGCTCCGCGACAGCATCAGAGATCTGCTCAGGGTTAAACTTTCCCCGTCTCATTTCCGTTTACAGTGCTTGAATCCGGACCCCAGTCAGGCCAAGAGCTGCTGCTGGTGGGTCGGCCTTTCAGCGGCCCCTGCCCGGCACCCACCTGCAGACTCAGCTCCTGTCCTGCACGCTCCCACTCTGGGTTTGGCCCAGTGCACCCCTGGCCCCTGGATTTCTGTAAACTGGTACTTGGAGCGAGACTTGCGTCTTTGTGTTTTGGGGAGCCGCTGCAGGTGGCGTGGGTGCCACCCCTGGGAGGCTGGTGAGGCGTGTCTGCCTCCCTTCACAACGACCACAACCTGAACCAACTAGCCCGCCAGGCTGCAGCCAAACGGTGGGGTGCCATCTGTCGCCACCCCTCACTTGCGAGCTGGGACACTTCTGTAGGGAGAGACCTGCCCTCACAGCGACCCGGCAGCGTGGTCCACGCGGGAAAGGGGCGTGCGAGACTCGAGCTTTAGTGGCCGGCACCCCCAAGGTAACCAGCCAGGTTTTCTTTCTGGAAGATCTGCGCCCTTCCTCCTGGATGTCAGATCCTACTGCTAATGGCTCCTCGCCCACAGGTGTCTCTCCTAGGCCCTGGGACCACATGGGGATGGCCGAAGGAGGCACAACGGCATGAGGGCCGGGGGCCAGCGCTCGGCCTGGTGACCTCTGCAGGGTCACAGAGCAGCAGAGCACACACGAGCGCCGCGGGAGAGGCCGGTGTGCTGGCGAGGCCCAGATGTGCCACCCGACGACCTTCCAGCACAGCCTCGGGTCAGTAGCTGGGGGGCTCCGAACCGGAAGCACATCTGCCTGGCCCTGAGGTGCTGGCAAGGCTCTTCCTTGTCTTGTGCTCTGATCCGTTACCATGGGTCTAATCAGTAATTTCACTAAAAATCAAGTAAAAAGAGAAAACGTGAGTTTTCTTTGAGTGCCAGCTATGATCCAGGATGTCAGAGGTTGTGCTAAAACCACGCCTGGAAGGCGAGGACGCAGCACCACTGGACGCTACAAATGCGAGGCCGGCAGGTGCCAGCAATTCAGCGAGTGCTGGCTTTCACCCTAACGCACCACCTTTGCTTAGGATACAAGCCTTTTTCCTCTGTAATAAAGAAAAAAAAAAAAGAAGAAGAAGAAACACCTTTTACAATGACCAAATATCGTTCCCACTTACGCTGGCCACGTGAAACAGCTCACGGCCTGAGGCCACTTTGAACAGATGGAGAAACACCACAGCGACTGTCCTGACGCACGGGTCACGTCCTTCCAGAGCCTGAAACCGCACCGAGGAGGAAGAGCAGTTCACGCTTCCATCCGGCCTGCAGCAGGCGGCAGAGGACGCGGCAATAGAACGGAGCTCCGGGGGCGTCGCTGCGTCGGCAGATCCCGATCCCGGCCGCGCCCGTGCGCACAAGCCCGTCCCCTCGGCGCATCCTGGCAAAGTCTCTTTCGCTGCTGCCCCCCACCCGGCCCCCGGCTGTGTACAGTTTCCTCCCACTGACTGGGGACTTCCGTGACGTGCTTTTACTCCACACTTTAAACAGGGAACAAAGCACCCTCGTGCCCAGAGAGAGCATGTGGGGAAATGAGAAACCGTGCCGAGAGCCAAGGCTGTGCCTACAACAGGGTCACCGACATGCGACATGATCAAGCCAACCTACAAACAGGAAAAAAAAGATGGGAAGAACATTCAAAGATGTTCACTAGGGTTCAGTTTTCACAGTGGGAATTGGTCCTACTTTGTTTTTCAGATTTTTCTTATGTATGTACTACCTACGAAAACAAAAGTGAAAAAAACCTCCACTGACCTGTGTACTCACTGACACTGTGCAGCACACATGTGTACTTTGCTGGTCACCTGTGTGCTGTGCCCAAACATCACAGTCAAAAAGGTGTTGGATGGTCTGAACCAAGGCCAGGTGGTACCACTTGTTTGAAATAACCCTCCCGACTCTAGCACAGCACCAGAGAAAACGTGAGTGTGTTAGTTTCAAATGTGGCTGGCGGGCACGGCTACCAGCTCTGCACGAACAACTTCACGACACCCGGAATGAGGAGTCCCAGGTGCCGAAGAGCCGACTGCGTGAGAAAGGAGGGCTCGACCTGCTGCCCCACACCTCGGCCCCAGCCTCAGGGCCGCCGGCCTGGAGCAGAGCGAGGCCTCGTTACTGCTCCCTGATTCCTGTGGCCACAGCCCCACCCATCCCACCCATTGTAGGGCACTGCCCAAAAATACGTGATAGTCAACAGTCGGTTCTGGTGACACCATCCGCATCACATCAAGGCACAAGCCCACCTGTCACTGACCCCTCACAGGCTCTATCTTCCAACTAGGCTTCCAATTCCTGGGAATTGGAATTCGTCTGCTCGTTGTGTCCACCTATCATTCTTCCATGATAAGAAAGCAAACTTTCAAATCAAGATTTAAGTATGTATTCTGAAACTCCAGAGCCCAGCTGGAAGGTGCCCGCGTGCCGGAGCAAGACCACGATCTGTGCGGCCTCCTTGGCCAGATCCAGCACCCCCACCCCTTGGCTCACTGTCCTCCGTGCCCAGGCCGCCTGCACCAGGGCCTCTGCTGCGCCTTGGTGGAGCTCTTTCTGTCCTCTGATCTGTCTTGGCTGCATCCCCATCAACGTCGACACAAATGCCACCTCCGGACTCCCTGCCCAGGCCTAGTTACTTACGTTGGTGAGGAAAGCTCCCTGTTGTCTGGCTTCCAAAGAAAGTAAACATACAAAGCACTTTACCGTTTATGAAGCGTTCTTACCAAATTACTGTGGGAGTGGACCTGGTGTGAAGACAGGAGGCTGAAGGCAGCAGAGGCCAAGAGACACACCGAGGGTTCGCCGTCTGGACGCTGGTTCCGAAGCCTGCACCTCCCCACGACACGTGCCCAAGCGAGGAGAGCAACGTTGTAACGGAAGTACCCGACTCGCTGTGGAGTATTCTCCCCCGCATCCTGCCGCGGCCAAGGGAAGACCCCCGTTGCCATCCAGGTCACCTCAGGCACTGCAGCCCAAACACAGGCCCTCTGCACCCTGGACACATGCAGAGTAAACAAATCATTTCACCTACTCCTTTCAAAAGCCTCCACGTGGCATTCTGCCTTCTCTAACATATGGAAAATAAATTCTTTGAGAAAACAAATTATGTTTTGCACCTTCTGTCTGCTAGGTCTTACCCTCGGAAGGGAGGAGTCCATTCGGATCAGCTTAGCGCCCCACCCTGAGCATGGAGGGTCCTGGCGACGTTTATGGGGTGGAGCAAAACGACACAGCAGAAGAGCACAGCGTGCCCCACTGCGCACCTTTCTGATTCGTTCCCGACCCAGCGCGACGCTGTCTACCAGCGAGGGCTGCCACGTGACCTCCGTGCAGCATGTCTAGGACACTCTTTGATCCTCGCTGTCCCACGTGAACTTCCCATCAAAGCCTGGGTGTGAGTGTCACCACTCCTGTCCTGCAGATGACCATACTGAGCTCCACGTCCCCATACGGGTGACGGGAGAGCTGCGCCTCAGCCCCAGCCTTCTGTCCCTCTGCGGCCGTCCCCGCCAAGGTGAGCCCTGGCTCTGGGACTCCTCGCCCTTTAGCTTCCAGACACTAGCGGGGAGGAGCAGAAAGCCGCAGGAAGTCCTCACTTAACACTGGGGTAAGTTCATGGAAATTGCAGCTTTACTCGAGAACCCACGTATGAGGAAACCAATTTGTTTCCCTCGTCAATGTTACAGGGAAACTACGTTGAAAGAAACAATGTTATTCAAGGACCTGCTGCTTGTCATTTTGCTTAAAGGTGTAGCTTCCAAGAACCTATTGAGGAGGACTTTCAGTACGAGGGGGCACCCTCCTTACCTCCTAGCCCCTTTGTCTCATCACATACGTCAAAGGGTCACCTTGAACAGCACCAGTTTAAACTGCCCGGGGCCACTTATACATTTTTTTCAGTAAATGTATTGGAAAAATTTTTGGAGATATGCAGCAATTTGAAAAAACTCTCAGATGAACCACATAGCCTAGAAAAAGTTAAGAAAAAGATATGCCATGAATATCTGCATAAAGTATATGCAGACACTAGTCTATTTTATCATTTACTACCATAAAATATGCACAAATCTATAAAAAGTTAA